GATTAGTCACTCCGCAAAATAAATTTCATGCAGCCGGCAATATTAAAAACATTACTTTTCGCTTTCATACGTAATTTCTATTGATGCAACAAAGAGCAATAATATAAGAAAAGCAAAGTTTTTTAAACAGCATCCGTTTTCTTCTATTTTTATATACAATTTAATCATGCGATCGATCAATAGTCGTATATGATAAGCATATACCGAGTTCTTCTCGAAAATACTCAATAACACAAATAATATATTTCAACATAACAGAATAAGCAAATAGATTCTAAAAATTCTCCTACACTTTTACATTCATTTATATACGGAATTTATATTCGTAACTCAGACAGCACAAAATATTTTTATAAATATTTATTAATATTTATTTTTTTTAAATGTTATATAGATATTTCATGCATATTTTATATACAGTTTTATTCGAAATATTATTAAAATATAGACTAAATATTTTATGTAATATTTATGGTAAATATAAATAAATTTTTGTAATAAGTTTTTTACTTGGATTATAATGTCTTAAGTATTTTCATAACATTTACTATATATTTACAATAAATGTTTATAATCTGTGCAATCTGAGAAAATATTTATACAAAACATTTAAAATAAATCTTAGAAATATTCATAAATATTCTATAAATATTTTATAAATATTGTGTGCTGTCTGAGAATGTAAGTGTTAGTGTAATAAGTTCCAAGCTTTTGCAAAAGACATATCAAAGACTGACGTTTCGATAATTTTAGCAGTTTTTTTCTAGTTCTGCTTAACATCAGAAAAATACATACACGTCATGTATATTAATGTAGCCGGACATTAATGTTTCTACACGCTAAAGCACATTCTTGAGTACGTGCTGAGGTAAACATGCTTGATGCATCCTGATTCTGCGATGGCAAACACGATACTATACAAGCATTTTAACGGATTAAGATAGTGAAGAAACATACTTGAATAAATCTCACTAAAATTTTAAAGATAAACATATGAATAGCGTGAAAGAAGATCATAAATGGACGGTAATGACAGAACATGATAAACAATTGAAAGTAAAAAAGAAATAACTGTACGTTAATTAAAATATTTGAAATATCCCCGAAAAGAAATATACCTTTTTTTCTACCTTACAAAAATATAAACGAGTTATAGATGATTAATTAAGTAAAAATTTGATTTACAGCTGCAATCGATCCAGATCAATTCGAATCAAGGGAGAGTCGGGGTATTCTTTGGAACGGAGCTGCGGCTCGCGAGACTTGCTTAACTTCAAAAGGCGAAGTCGGTCGATGCACGACCTTCAAGGAATGCTATCCGTACTTCAAAATACCCGACCTCGGTGCTTTGGACGGTTGGGTCCTTGGCGTTTATGATACATGCAGCTATATCCGCGAAGATGGAAACCCGAGCTTCGGGATCTGTTGCTCGAATTTGCATCCCTTCGTTACGCCTGATCCCGATAACTGCGACAATCCTACTGCAGACAATCCGCAAGTAAGGCATGGCCAAACGCGTGTCAGCTATTTAAACCATTTGACCCAATTCTGTCTTTAATATTCGCACAGGCATCCCCGTTTTGTTCGTGATAATCACTTTCACTACCGGAAACTCGTAAAAATTATACGTGATCCGAATTAAACCCATTAGATCCCATTAGAAAGTTATATCTTTGCAGCGTCGATTCGGTAATACGATTTCACAAAAGATCGTTTTATGGCCTGCGTTTTATTACTCGGTGTTCACGCATTTCTTCCTTCTGTTGAATGTAATACCATAGTCATTCCTTTCATCTGTCACTGTGGATCTTTCTTTAAAAGATAAACTATATCGTAATTGATGTTATTTATTAATTAAGGAGTCTTCTTCATTAGGAAGACAAAAAATCAATTTTTTAAATTGCATTTTTTAAATCCTACATGTGTATAAAATTAACTCAGTAATTTTTTTTTTGAAAAAAAAAACAAGTTTTTAAAATAATGAACATCTTCTCAGACGTTGCGCAAGACGAAAATTAAACAGCTAACGGAGGGCCGAGTGTACCGTGCTCATTTTCAGAGACCGGTTTCTAATCTATTATACCTATTAGGATTTTTAGCATAAGTGAGGGAAATCGAAATGAAGTAAATTTTGACTCCACGTGAACAATACTTGTTATAAACGCTTGGATTAAAAAATCAATTAAAAATTTTAAAACCGTTTTTTTCCAAAATCATGTTTACAAAATCGCGGGAAAATTCTCCTGAAAAAAACGGCTTAACCGATTGACTCGAAAATTATTACTGATACTTTTTGCGGTTCGTGAACTACTGTTTTTTTTTTTATATCTATCAATTATTTAATCTTCTTTTTTACAAAGTGCTGGAAAAAATACTGAAAATCAAAACATGATTTTCGTTTTCTTGCCATTTATTAAATTTCAATATTTTAAAATGTTGGTTTAGTAATTTCGTGTACAATGTAGAGTACTAATAAAAAATAACAATTGACATATTTTAATTACTAAGATTGCTAGAAATTTCCCGTAATTTTTATATTATTCTTGACGCGAAGAAACTTATAAGACAAATTTAAAACTTCCTATTAAAACAAATAAAAAGTTTCATCTTAAACGGTGTATTCCACTTTTTAAAAACAGTCAATTTTTAGGCCTCTAAATGAGGAAGATCTTTAAACAAAATTAAATTATAAATTATTTTAGGTGGAGGACAATAAGAAGAAAAAAGAAAGCGCGGAAATAGCACGACCTCAAGCTGCGCCTACTTGGCCACCTCAGGTTCCCACACATCCGCCCGATCACACGATACCGCCGCTTCCAACTCATCCACCTTCACCTGGTCTACCGACGTATTCAACTACGCATTCAACTACATATTCAACTACGTTGAAACCAAGTAGCACAAGCTCTAAGAGACCCAGCGTCGCTACTACGTGGCCGACGAAGAGGCCAGAATGGTGGATCACGTCGTCGACGTCCCCGTCGACAACCAAGTCTCCGACCAACGGCGACACTCTTTCGCAACAATCTTGCGGTGCCAAGAATGGCAACCAAGATCAAGAGCGTATTGTTGGAGGGAAAAATGCAGACCCGGGCGAATGGCCGTGGATGGTCGCGCTCCTTAACGCTGGACGACAATTCTGCGGTGGATCGCTCATTGATAACATCCATGTGTTGACGGCGGCGCACTGCGTTGCAAAGTGAGTCCAATTTAGTTATCAATTTATTATATTCCTTAATCAAAACTGAAATGATATATGTCTAATGTCTACAACTATTTCTTTACTGCCTATATTATATATGCAATATATATGCTTTCCTATTTTCTAAATTCTATGGAGTAGGATCTCATTCTAAAGAGCAAAAATTGAATCAGAAACTCCTGAAAAAGAATTGCTCCATTTTCATTTTTTTAAGAATAAGATTCACTCTAAAAGTTTGAGAGAGTACGACTAGTTATAAATAATTAGAAATATGATGAGTTTTGAAATATCTAATAAAAGAAAATATTATATGATTCCAGTATGAACTCTTGGGACGTTGCGAGGTTGATAGCGCGCCTAGGTGACCACAATATTAAAACGAATAACGAGATTCGTCACATCGAGAGACGCGTGAAGAAAGTCGTGAGGCACAGAGGCTTCAACTCCCGTACACTCTACAACGACGTGGCACTTCTTACGCTAAGCGAGCCTGTGGAATTCACCGAACAAATACGACCTATCTGTCTTCCTAGCGGATCGCAATTGTATTCCGGCAAGACGGCGACCGTTATTGGATGGGGTTCTCTGAGAGAGAGTAAGAATATTTTTACACTAAAATGGACTTTGACTCATGCGAGTAGTCGCATCAAAGAAAACATTTTTACTTGACTTCAAATGAAAAAGTGTGTAATTATGTATAATATTCATATACTCTTCCAAATATTCTCGTTTGAGGAATCAATTTAAATAATCATTCGCGAACATCTAAGAACATTTCTTAAGATATATACTGACACATAAGTAATTTATTATATTTAATTAGGTGGGCCGCAACCAGCGATTTTGCAAGAAGTTTCAGTACCAGTATGGCCGAACAGCGAGTGTAAATTGAAATACGGTTCAGCAGCACCAGGTGGTATAGTTGACAGTTTCCTATGCGCTGGTCGAGCCACTAAGGATTCATGTTCGGTTCGTATTTATATATTCATTAATTTTACTTCGTCTTACGTCAAACTTATCCATCAGCCTAAATACGATCAGTTATTCATTAACTAATTAATAATAAAAATTGATTCATTATTTAGGTAAGAAATTGTTTAATTATAAGAAAATTGGAAGTTCAGACAGATCCATTTTTTTCCGGCAAATAAAATATAAATATACATTTATAATATAATCAAATTTTATTAACATATAGTTAAGAACTAATAACATTGCACTTATATTATAGGGCGACAGCGGAGGACCTTTAATGGTGAACGATGGTCGCTGGACGCAAGTCGGTATTGTATCATGGGGTATAGGATGTGGTAAAGGACAATATCCAGGCGTGTACACAAGAGTGACACACTTTTTGCAGTGGATTCATAAAAATTTAAAATAGAAGACATGCATGTATCTACCGCCACGTCCCTTTCGCACCGTCGCTGTTTCTTCGACAAGGATTGTTGAAGAAACGCGGAATCGATCATACTCGCTTCGAAAAATGTGATAAAAACCGTCGAGCCCTAAAGAGCTTCATAGCGATATTTAAAAAATTTTTTTATAGTTAAAAGCAAAAACATATCGCTTCTCTAAGAAAATTTGATACTACGTTAATTTTTTTTTAATTACGCGACATTCCTTTTAAGTTTCACGTCATCGCGCGCTCTATGTACGTTCTCTCATCATTAAATGAAATCATTATCATTCATTTACTGTAGAAGTCAATAAACTCGATGATTACGAGTAGTAACAAAATATGTTATATTTTATATTGCTATACATATACACAAGTATATAAAAAATAAAGTTATACAGTAACGACTTGGACATTATAGGCTTCTGTTTTTGCCACGTCTGCTTGCGATACGCTGAAGACTATGTATCGCAATTACTTACATTTAATTGTTGCATAGTATTCCGTGCTAGAAAATAAAGAAAAAAATTTTTTCTGTTATAACTGCCAATATTAACACGGTGTAATGTCGTTTAAAAAATAATACCGCACACGCGCGCGAGTAACATTGAAAATATAAATTTAATATATATTTTTCTCTTCAATAAAAAACTATAAATGTAATGGCGATGCTACTTTTTCTCATTTTAGCAACAACATGTTGATAAAACTATTTAGACATCTCCAATTTGAATTGTAATAATAGAAGAATGTTTTATGGCACTCTCTCTCTCTCTTCTCTCTCTTGAAATTTTATAAGTCCTATTATTGACAGAAGCGCATGTTTTACATCACTTGAAATTTTACCTCATATATTACACGGTATTATTTTTCAAACGACAATGATATAATATACTGGGGCGACATACTCTGAAAATAGCACGTATCATACTTATCGTCCGGTTGCGGAATGAACGGGGGCACCGCTTTCGACGGTTCGTCCCAAGGAAAGTCGCGGAACAGAGTCATGGTACGCACCTCCTTCGCCATGGGACGAGAAGCTTGGTCCAAGGTGAGCAACGCATCGATAGCACTGGTTGCCGCCGACGACAGAGCTTCCTCATCTTCAGGCCATGGAACGTCGCGCGCAAGAATGTTTGTGAATACCGCTTGCGGCGTTTCGTCGTTAAATGGTGGCAAGCCCGTACAAAACTCGTACAAACAAACACCTAGTGCCCACCAGTCCACGGCTGGTCCATGACCTTGTTTAAGTAATAATTCTGGGGCGAGATAATCGGGTGTGCCGAGTATGCGGTCGTCCGATCTATTGGCACCACCCTGACCGCCCCTTCTAACGGATTTGGGTGTTCTATAAGGTGTGTAACAGTTGCCAGAAGTTGCGGGTGTCTTAATGGGTGAAATACCCTGGGGCGACCGATGACCCTCGGATGTGTTATCCGAATCCGTGTGCGAATCATGAACGGAATGTGGAGGTGGTAAGCGAAATCTCGTCTTGATTAAATTCTTCGCGTCATCCTCTTCCTCATATTTTTGCTGTTTCTCATTTTTGTGATCTCTTTGCCTAGTGGAGGATACTGGCGTACTGAAAGCTACCCTACCCGCCGAGCCAGTATTCTGCTCAGTGTCCTGATTCGGTGTCCTGTTTCCATCGTTTTCCACTAAATCAACAGTAATATCCGCAGCTTTTGTGGAGATAACATTGATTGTTGGACTTGTATAAGGAAATATACAGTCACGATTGTTTCTCTTGGGTGTTTTGACGACATCCAAGTCTATTGCGTCGATTTCGCATGTTAAACCCGTTGAACTTGCGCCGTCTCGCTTCCTTTTTTTTGATCCTCGAATCACGAATGAATTTGTGCAAGTGCTTACAGGACTAGTATGTACAAGAGATCGATGATGCGATTTCTCGGCCTCGATCGTAGATTCGTCCTTCTCTCCCTCTTCCTCCTCTATAGTCTGATCGATATAATTATTTGTTTGTGTAGAGGATGCCTCGCAGGTATGGTAACTGCTAGAGCTATCCACACCATTATCGCGCTTTTCAATGGTTGTTTCGTCCTCTTCTATACTTTGTTCTTCGTGACTTTGCTCGAAGTGCAGATCCTCCGCCGAATGAAAAGGTGTGACGCCAGATATTCGGGAATAATCTCCAGATGCGACAGAGGATATGACCGAAGTCGGTGACATATGCTCTGCGGATTTAAGATTGCAATTCCTTTGTAGAGCGGAGAGTAAATTCATGGCTGGTGTACTTCTGTCACTGAAATTTGATTCGTTGGTAGATTTTTGGCCAGAACCGAAGGACAAGTGGGACGTCAGTGAGAGCAGCTGGCCAGGTGTCCTGGTGCACAAGCTCGGAGTCATGGGGTTCACTAGATCTGATATTTCGAGATCCCTGTGCAAGGATGATATTTTACTGAGCCCAAAGTCCGTAAGCTTGACGTGTCCTTCGCGTGAGAGAAGCATGTTGTCTGGTTTGAGATCTCTGTGCACAATACCGTGCGAGTGAAGATATTCAAGTGCTAGACAAACTTCTGCTGTGTAAAATGCCGCCATAGATTCCTCCATAAAACCGTAAACGCCAAGCAGACTCTTGAGATCACCACCCACCATGTACTCCATGACTAGATACACACTGCTGATGGACTGCAGCGAATAAAAGAGTTGTACACAATACGGACTACGAGTCAGAGCTAATGCATTTCGCTCAATTACCACTTGCGACGCCATATTTTTATTTATCATCTCGTTCTTCTTCATTACTTTAACTGCATATACTTGCTCGGAATTGGTCTTCTTGTACCCTAAAAATACTTTACCAAATGCTCCTCTGCTTATCGGCTTTACTATCTTAAAATCCTGTATATCTGGCACCTAGCAAAAAAAAATTAATATTAAATATTCATTAAAACATGTATTTTTTAATGAAAAAACTTATATAAATAGATGAGTTATATGTTATAATATAAAGTACACTATTTATATTATATCAGAGCAATTTAATCAATTTATCTTATTTTAATAGTCCTTAATCAACATATGGAAATACTTTAATAACAGGACTTAACATTTATTTATTCAATTTCTTTGAAAACAATTTAGTTTTCTCACTAGTATTATTTCTTAAGATTTATATCTAAATGATGTAATATACTATAATAAATTAAAAAAGGACTACACATACTGAGCATAAAATTGTATTTAAAAAGATGTATTTAAAAAAATGACTTTTAGATCTATCAAGAATTATCCAAAATAATTTTACTCTGGAGCATTTTTTATGTTAAAAAATTATATATTCTATTCATTTATATATATATTATATATTATAAAAATATCAGAACGGAGCATCAACTTTTAACGAATCAAACTTCCCGAATAGAGTTTTAAAGCCTTAAAAAATTGTCTAGTTAAAAACATCCGAGCTTCTGCTTTTAAAAAGAAAAAGTTTACCTTTGTAGTGGGGTTAACGATCTTGGAAATGGTATTGAAAATAGAATTGTTGATACATTTCTCAGACTGTTGCGGCGTGCACTCTCCATGACGTTCCTTGTCATTTTCACTGTAGACCGCATCGACGTTTGACTCATTAATACAATTGTTTTCCCCTGATTGTGATTTCGGTGAATCGGGCACAGTTTCTTCCATTTAAGGGAAAAAAGAGAAAAAAAGAGAGGAATCCGAACGACCAAGGAGATAACCTATGTAACTAGGCGCACAAACTTTTGTGTTTTTAATGAACTACTAGCTCATATATCGACTCATAAGAATTGTTTGCATACCACAAGTTGATCAACCATGATCATAGTTTCTCTTTCGCGATATTTCGCATTGAAATCGAGCTTCGAGAACCGGTTAACATATTCCGGAGACTCCGGAGTAAACACCGTTTCACACGTTCACACTTCACACGTCACAAACCCCATAAACACGAAACCTGAGAAATCTGAGAATTGAGAGGGACTATTCTACGTTTTTCGTGAGTTCGTCAAAGGCTGCTTTCCATTTGATGACACGAGTCGACACAAGCGTCGTTCTATCCTTGTTGACATTCAGAGAGTGACAAAGATAGAACGGTAGAACGAATTGTGTCATCAAGTGGAAAGCACCCAAAATCGCCCGTATACTAGCGCCAGTACATCTATTTTCGATTTGGAAACTATTTGTGTCAATAATAGCAAATTTATATATCAATTGTCGATAATGTCAGCGTTCTTCAATTATCTCAGGGCCCTTGGGGCCCTTTTTATGTCTGTTCTACAATAGAGTCGCAAGTCGTAAGCCGTAAGAAATTGGCCAATAATCACAGTCGAATGTGAGAAGAATAATCGACTATGATTGGTCAATTTCTTACTCTTACTTCTTACTCCGTGTATTGTAGACGGGCCTGTAGAACAAGCGGGGTGATCCCGATTGATCACGGCTCGATTGGACACCACCAATCACAGCAACCGGTGCTTAGGAACTTTGTAGTCTCAAGCAGCTGTGAGTTGCTCGTGTCCAATTAAGCCGTGTCCAACTGGGTGCCACCCTCGCGCTGATTGGATTATACTTTTAGATTTAAAAGAATAGTCCTATCTCAGCGAAGAATCACAAAACGGTTGCAAAACTATTAATCTGCTGAATGCTGCCAACGTCTCTTGACTGATTGTAGACCAGGCCTAAGGGCTATACTCCACCTGCCTTCCTTTAATTCAACCATGCCGTTGCCTGTCATCACACGTTTCATAACGGTGTATAACGGCTGCTAGTATTGGCGCGTAATTCCGTAATCGTTTCTCATATTCATTACCTACATCTACTGTTGATTATTTTTGATGATCTATGGACTGTTGATCGATCGTTACTTGACACGTCCAGTTCAACACACAGATTTTGGTTTCTTTAAAGATTTGCGTTTAACGACGTAATGGCAGCGAAAGCAGCGAAGAGAGTACCGAAGAAGAAAGGAGGTTATCAAATGCCTGAACCGATACCGGCTGGAGAGATTCTCAGGGACTTATCAAAAGGACAATGGATCCTTGGCAAGTCAATTGGTGTCGGCGGTTTCGGAGAAGTTTACTCTGGTACGCGAAATTAATCCTGTTATTTTATTGTGTTACATCGCCGTTACATATTATTCTCATTTTGTAAACACAACAGCGAAGTACTAGTTATACAAAAACATGAATGTCCTTTTTTCTTTAAGTCTTATATATACAGTTATAAAAAATATGTAAAGACTTGTGATTTTGTTTTACATAATTAGATCTAAATGTATTTTATTTCTTTTATAAGATACATGTTTTTTTTAATACATTCTTAAGTATTTTATTATTGTACTAATTGATTATATTGATTATTTACAGCCGCACCATATTCTGGAAAGACTCCTAAAGATTATCCTAATGTCATAAAAATTGTGAGATTATTCTCCTTATTTTTACTATTTATTTCCTAGCTTTTATTCTGACTTCACATACTCTGTAAATTCGTTTTAGGAACCGCATGGAAATGGTCCATTATTTGTAGAAATGCACTTTTATATGAGGAACTGTAAGTCAGATGAAAGTAAGTTTAAAAGTAAAATTTATTTTTAATATATTCCATGTGACGAATTACTTTTAAAATTGCAGTTTATATAACAATGGATAATGTTATCTGATTGTACAATATTCGTGAGATAAATATATCATAGTATTTGTTTAGTTGATAGCTGGCTGAAAAAAAAGAAACTTGCAACGCTCGGAATACCTAGATATGTTGCTTCTGGAAGTCATGAATATAAGAATACAAAATATCGATTTTTAGTAATAGATCGATATGGAAAAGACTTGTGGAAAATATTTGAAGAAAATAACAAACAATTTCCAGAACACATAGTATATAAGTTATCTTTGCAAATAGTAAGACAAAATGAATATTAAGTAATTATTAATAACAAGTACCTGTTTTAATATAATTTGTTATATTCTAATAAATTTCCTAGATAGATATATTAGAGTACATTCATCAGAAAAACTATGTACATGCTGATATCAAAGGCGAAAATTTGCTACTGGACTTGAATTCCTACGATCAGGTTTATTTAGTTGACTTTGGTTTAGCCTCTCGTTGTACATCAAGTACTGAATTGAAAGTCGATCCAAAGAAGGCACATAATGGCACTTTACAATACACCAGCAGAGACGCTCATATGGGAGGTAAATATTAGAAAATTGCAGGTTTGATACTTAATGCAATTTATCAGTCTTTGAATATAAATTATAAAAATAATTGTTATACTTTAAATGTTTTATTTTATTTTTTTTTTTTTAGTACCAACGCGTCGTGGTGATATTGAAATTTTGAGTTACAATATGATCCTGTGGTTATGTGGTTCATTACCATGGGAAAAGTTACTCGATCCAGCTACCGTTCAGAAAGAGAAAGAAAAAGCTTTCAACAATATAGACAGTTTCCTAAATAAGTGTTTTCATGGGTCTGTTCCACAGGCTGTTCACAAATTTATAACTTTGCTAGCTAGTATAAAATTTAATGAAATACCATCTTATGAAAAACTGAAAGAAACATTAATAGGTGGTTTAAAGAAATTGAGTCATAAACCAGATGGGAAATTAAAATTGGACAGCATTGGCATGTTAATTCAACAAAATACTTCTAAACGTACTCCACAAAATTTAAAGAAATCTACAAATGGAATTTCCGTTAGAAAGAGTCCCCGTATGAAACAACTGGATAGTTCAAGAAAAAGTACTATAGGTGTCGTAATTGACAAGAAGCGTTGTAATGTAAAGGATATTGCGAAAGCATTAGATGATATGGATTCTGACGGTGAATATGATATTCAAATTCTTAAAAAAGCGAAAAAATCAGAATCAGTTGAAAAAGTAAATACAATAGTGAAAAATAAAGCTTCGTCTCGTAGAAAGAAAGTTTCAATTGAGTCAATCGATGATTCTGAAGAGGATTCTAATATAAAGGTAATTACAAAACTGTCTGAAAAAAGGAGTACTCATTTTTAAAATTTTATTTAAATTTAGAGGCTTCAGATTTATTTTTGTCATTAGAATACTTATTTCTATCATTTTGTGTAGCTGTTACCAAAACCAAGTAATAAACGAGAGAAAAAGCCAGTCACAAGTAAAACAAGACGAAAGGTCAAGTTTTTGAATGATTCAGAAACAGCTTCTGAAACTGAGGTAATAAAATTTAAATATTTAACTCGTATTTTTTTTTCTTCAATTTGTATAAATAAAAATTAGATAAATATTACATAAATGATGAAAATACTATATAAATACATAAGTATATTTTCAATACATCTCCAGATTGTATCAAAAGGAACAAAAGCAAGACCTGTTGCGACTGCTAGGAGTAAAGCAAGTACTAGGTTGCAATCCAATAAAATAATACCTACAACTTATGCTGAAACCGAATCAGACGAAGATATGTTTGATACGTAGTGTTACGAAAAATAAAAGGATAGTAAAGGAAGTACAGTTATGTGTGATATTTGTACTACAAAAAAATATTATGTAACTTGCATTTATACATTATGCACTTTTGTACATGACTCTTACATATTTCATTATTACTAATGCAACATTATTTACTACAACATTATGTTTACTTGTGATTAAAGCAATTCTAATGATAATATTTTTCATCATTATTTCTATTTTTGTATATATGTGAATAGAGTTACCAAAAATGAAAAGTTTCGAATTATAAAACTATTATGATATTGTAAAAATTACTTCATACTTTTTGATGAAGTAAAATGTTAAATGCATTTAATTTAGTAATATTTTTATGTGTTGAAAGTAATAGAATCTTCAGTTCTCTTAATTATATTATTATAAATAATCACAACAATAATGATTTAAAAAATCAATTTGATTTATTGGGCATGTTTTCAAATAATGAAAGAAAAGTTTCAAAATGAATTAATTAAAGAATCATAAAATTAATCTGCCTAAAAAAAATTTTACACATGTATTTACATATATTATACATGTATATTTACTATATCTAAACTTAAGTATTTGGATTTGAATACTTACGGTAATTGTAAATAATAAATTTTATACTTTTCTGTTTTAAAAAATATATAGCTAATGTTTTGTGTTTTAATAATCATTAAATATTGTAATTTAAAAAAAATGTCATTCCTTCACAAATAAGTTTTACACGGTGCAAGTAATTAAAAAAGTAATTCAGGTTATCAATTATATGGATAAAAATCGGCATTTTTTAACTATTTTTTTAATTTTTGAATCTGAGGAGCACTTATTTTTACTTTTCCAGGTATATTCCTGGCTATTGTCTCATCTTTAATTGCCTTTAATAGGTCTTTTTCACGTGAAGAAATTTCTTTGTCTCTGAGAAATACAGCTATAGCTGTTTTAGCAGCTTTGCCCCTCTTACCAATACCAGGTATCAATTTCACTTTGAACCTGGTAAAAATAAATATTGAAATTTATTATAAATGAGAGAGAAAGAGGTAAATTATTGAGCGTTTTAGGAGCTACTTACTTGTAATTTTGTAAGGTATTGTAAGGTGCTACAACAGGAACAGCAAATAATAATTCATCTTCTGAAACAGGCTTTCCTGTTAACTGATCGAGCATATCAACTTCAGGAATTGGACCTGTATCTTCATCGTCAATGTTATCTATTATCGTGTGCATAGATTGTGGTGGAATGTTAGGTTTCGGATTTGTCTTTTTCTTTCCTTGTTGCTTTGGACCTGACGGATCTTTAGACCTATTTTTTCTTTTGTCTTCTTTGGCTGCACCTGCCGACTAAGAAATAATTGGAAAAAATAAAGATATTAAATTAAATAAATAAGTTTAGAGAGCAAATACTTAGTATAAAATTTAAGGCAAAAAATAAAACCTGCAAAACGAGCATTGAAAGCCTTCTATCTTCCTCATCCTGATCTTTATACTTTTCTTTCATTTTTTTAAGCTTTCCTTTTTGTCCTCGTTTTAACGCAGGTTGCTCTCCTTTTTTGTTATCATTTTCATTTTTATCATCTTTTTCAACCTTTTTTGTTGATTCTTTTGGATGTGTTTTTTGTTTTGCTTTTGCATGTTTCTCCATAGTTGGAATTATTATAATAGGCATATCATCTCCTAAATAAACCACATTTTCTTTCGTGTCTTTCTGAGATTGCATTAAAGGCTGATTATTATCAACATGTATTTTTACCCTGTTTGATATAAAATTACGTCATATATATATACATATATTTTATTTGATTTCATTTACAATCAAAAATTTTGTATTAACTCACTTTGGGCCTGATAGATCAATTTTAATTTGTGTATCAGGAAATTGATATTTTGCATCTTCGTATGTATCTTTTTCATCTTCTCCATAAGTATCTTTCTTAACACTATAATCTGTTGTATGAGATTCTGATTTCTCTTGATCCTCCTCTTGAATTGGATGTAATGTATCTTTGTTCTCTAGATTTTGTTCTTGTTTCTCTAGATTTTCATCTAGCATTAAAAATTATTAGCTTTTGAAAATATATATTAACAATTAAAGAATAATTTAATTAAATATTAGATGATTTATTACATAGCTTTCCTCATCTATTGTTTTCACTCTCCTTTCATCTTTATGTCGTTCTATGGAACTGTCCTCCAGACGAAACATAATACCCAATCCCATAATTAATTGACTGTGCGTCAGATAATTTTTTTTTCCACGTATCATGAAGGATCCGGTAGTAAGATATTCACCAGTAGGCGCACTCTTGGATACTTGATCATGATGCACCCACCATGCATTAACTATTACTTTCGAATCCCACGCTATACTATAGTTGTAATATTAAGCATAATTATATACATAATTATAATAATATAATAATAGTTTAAAACAATATATATGTAAATTTAGCAAGTACTATTGTAAAAATAAAAATCAATATAATTATGTACCTGTATGCAACAGCCATTGTACCTGCCTCTGCTAATGATTTTGGCGGTACAGGATTGCCACTGGGATTTTTTATTACGACAGAACTAGCACCAGTTAAATCTGCATGAACGTATAAATCTCCCGCCTTCAGATATCTTTTAACTATGAACTCATTCTGCTGTTGATCTCTTCCTCCGATCACTATGTATGTATTTACGTTAAAATTAATAATTTCGACATATACAAATTATTAAAAGAAAAACATACCTAAGTAATTTTCGGATGTAATAAACCAATAGAATTTTTCAAACCAATATGTCTTCCTTAATTTATTAATGGTATGTATGGTTTGTACTTCTTTCAGTGTTTGCTTTGTCTTCTTTTCGGCCGATTTCAAAGCTTTTCCCTGGGATTCTATCGTTTTTTGCTGCTTCTTTGCAGCTGATTTTTTTTGACTGTAATACTTCTTGGCATTACTGAATGCTGTATGCGCCAAATCTATATCAATCATCATAGGTTTGAGCTTAGATTCCTCATCACTGTCTTCATAAGGATCATGCAACAATAGGGCAACATGATTCGTTTCTAGTTTTAATTGTTTTATAGCAGAAGCAACAGGATCACCTCTGACTTGAGCTTCTTTCAATAAAACTTGAATGTCCGGCCAAGACATTTGATTTGCTAAGGCGCTTTGTATAGCTAGTATAGCGTTGTCCACTAAAACCTGATTTCTTGAAATTAATTCTGCTTTTTGTTTATCTAATTCTTGTGTCTTTTCTAACGTAATCAATCGCTGACTGTGATCTTTTCTTACTCTATCTAATTTTTGCAAAGCTTCTCTTTCCTGTTGCAGAGCTTTCAAATCTATCTTTTGTCCTTCCATCATAGAGAAATATTCATCCACTGCAGCATCAAAAGAATCAAACTCCTTGTAAGGTTGATTATTATATTGCTCAAACAAAAAAGGATGAAATTCAATATTAGCAAATATAAAATCTTCCTTGCCATCTTGAGTCAGTTTCGATTCCTTTTTCTGTATAATATAGCCTTTGGAGACATTTTTCTTTGCGTAATCCATCATGTTATTAGCATCCTCGAGCGCTAAAATTAATTTTGGCATATCTTCAGTGATATGAAAATCTTTACCGATTTTGCAACCAAGGTTAAATCCAGCTTTCAGTAAAACATGATCAATCACAGCTGAACCAAATTCTAACAATGGATTTAATACTTTTTTAAGATTATCGCCCTCGTTAGCCTTTTGAATATGCTCATGAATTACATCCATAGATGGCATAGTTGTGGAATGAGCTCTGTCTAAGGGATATTTCTCTTTCACTGCAAATCTAAATATCATTTGATTTTGTTAGTTTACATGCCAACATATATTTTACATTATAGATACATTTTGTTTGTTACCTAATTTTATCTCCTTCTGTATGAGGTCTTAACACATATAAAATTACCATTTCGTGATCAGTCAAAATTATATTACCACGATCATACACCTCCAAAATTACATGGTAGGCAGCTTCACCACTTCCAAATTGTAACTTTATTATTCGATCAGTACCGACTTGCATAAGACTCTCTAATCTTTTGTTCTTAAGATGTTTACGCATCTGTAAAATTATATAGATTCCAAGGTATTTATTACTATACAATAGCTATTTTATAATTTAATATTATTTTTTAGCAGAGATATTTACCTTCATAGAGAAACCTGAGGGAGCTACATTCTTAGGCCATTCAAAAGCTGTAATATGGATTCTGTTACCAGATTCAAGCAAAAGAACGCATTTTTCCTCACTACGTTGAAGGCGTATAAGATATGTGCGATGATCTATATCGTATATCTGATTGACACGCATGCCAATAAGCCTAAAAGTTTTTACATGATTATAAGATAGCTTGTGAGCATAACAACTTGTGTTAACCTGTTGCATTATGACATTGTATAATTATTTATGTATCAACAATTACTTATCAGTAAAGACTAGCTGCAATTAATTTATGTATTTTTTTTTTTAAATAAAATTATATTACGGCTGTACACTTGTAAAGATAAACTGCATATTTTGAGGAAAATGAAATTTTTGTTATAACCTCAAGATCTTATTATAAAATCAGAAATACGTTTTATCTTTTTCTCTTACCTTTGTAATTCAGTGACTGAACATACAAGATCATAAGTATTAAACCGCGTCTTCATTTTTAGATAGGTTTTATTTTCTCTTTGAAAAATTTATCGAAAAACACAGTGACAATTCGACATACTCTACAGTCAACTCTACAGTTTAGTTTACCCTGTTTCACTGACTGACTGACTAGCTTGCACGGACTTGCACAATATGAAATTGGATACGTTCCTTCCGTTTCTCGCATGATGCGCATAATACATCGTTTATCCTTGTTGCTCACCAAATGTTAAACAAGGACAATGGATGCATCATGCGCGATACGCACCCATATATACGCTATTTGGAAACTTAGGAAGAAAATCTAGGAACACGTATAGAATATGAACAAAAAGTTACATCACATCCGCAAATACAGACATTTATCGAAATTTTTTTGCAAAATTAATCTTATCTATAAATCGTATCCTTATCTATTAAATTTTATTTCAGACATTTCTAAACTGGGTATATACATATATATATAGTGTTATTCATTGAAATTTTTTATAAAAAATCTCATTAAAGATTGAAAATGGAATCGTTCTTTTTGAAAATTGGCTTAATTTTTATTTTTTAAAGTGAGACCCTGCTTTAAATGATTTAAAAAAGAAATAATTATTAAATAAGCTTGAACAAACAAAATACAAGCCAGAAATTAATTTGTTATAAAAACTTGCTACAAAAATTTATTTTTGATTGTTATCCTCAAAAATCCAGCTAATCACATCAAATTTCTACTTATATGTCGAAACTTTGAAAAAAGAAATATTAATTAAAAGCTATTTATTTAATAATAATCCTGCACATAAAATGAAAAAGTATAAAAAGAATTATAGTATAAATATTAAGGAAATGGAAACAAAGAAAGATAAGACATATAGATTTTAAATGTTTTTTTTATATTCAATATGAGTAAGATGTAAACATTGCGAATATTAACGATAAGATTTCTGGTATCGTGCTCTGGCGCCTGGACCACCAAACTTCTTTGGCTCGCACCTCCTTGGATCGGCAACAAGGAGAGTACGGTCGTATTGAATAAGAATATCCTTTACTTCCTTCTTACTGGCTTCATCGACATCTAAGATAACAATTACATTATTAATTATTATAAATTATCTAATAAATCATCAACAATCACATCCATTATTAATTTACACTTACATTTTTGATAGTAGGCAACGAGAGCCTTAGAAATTGCCTGTCGAATAGCATAGATCTGTGCAACGTGACCACCACCACTCACCCTCACCCTGATATCGACTCCGGAGAACTTCTCCTAAAACACAAATGGAAACATTTTTGTTTGATGAAAAACCGTATTCCGCTTGCACTAGTGAGAGCTCAAAGGAAAGACTATTTTCAGAATCTACTGCTAATCATGAACCATCATGTTCGGAATAAGTAGACATCACGGAACGATTTATGAATAGACACGACAAATTCGCATGTCAATTTGCTCCAATGTCTTCTCCATCGGCTTTAGGAATTAGGAGTCAACTATTAATTCCCCACGTTACTCACCTTGCCTAGCAGCAGGATGGGCTCCTGCAATTTGTACTGCAACACGCGGGGTTCCACCAGCTCCAGCGGCCGGCCGTTAACACGGAGGTTTCCACGTCCACGCTTACAATAGGCGACCGCGGTCGCACTTTTCTGCAATGAGAAGATCCGTGTTAAACACGTCGTGCGTCAACCACGCGTAGACCTAACCTCACAATACTCTCTAGCTCACCTTGCGTCCGAAGACCTGCACGGAATGGATCGGCTCTTTTTGTTTCTGAAAAAAAGAGCGCGATTCAATTAATATTTACTTTCGTTCGTGTCCGTCTAATACTGATCATGGAGACGGCATAAAACTCACCTTCTGCATTTTGACGACCGAACAGCACGTCGTAAAACCTGTAGAAAAGGAGAGAAAGGAAGTTACTTTACTCGTGGCGCTCGCAGCACTCGCTTCCGCAAAACAGAAGGACGCCATTGCTGTTATTGGATAGCCAATAGGATTCTATAGCCAATAAGATTCAGGGCGCGAGACTACATTTAAAAAATATTTTTCAAACAATAATTGAGGGGATGGGCGGAATAAAGGCCTAATTATGAAACTTTGATATTAATAAAAATTAAAATAACTTGCTACTTTTTTATTATACACAAATGGGTACACAATATCAAATGAATTTATGTAATGTTTTTAAGAAATTATATGTTACAATACTTTTCTATTACGATCGATATTACATAAAAAAGCTAATTGCCGAAAAAAGGGCCTAATAGTTTGAGTTTGAATAGTTTGAGCATCTTTTCGGGGAGTGTTAGTTTGTGGAAATTATTAAATTAATCAGCTTTGAATGCCTAAAAGGGTCGGACGGAGTGTACAAATTAAAAGGATAAAATTTCTAATCAAATGAAATTTGTTCTTAAACATTGATCCTTTCTCGCTTTACCAAAAACTTCATCAATTCCAAAATCCAACTGAGATCCATCCAAATATTTCCTAAAATGACTTTATTAATAACAAAAATAATAAAACTGCTTGCAATAAAGATAAACTTATCCTAAATTATAGGTTAATTAAAATAGATTACCAAATAAATTACCCCAATTTTAAAGTAATTAAAAAAAATGATCCTCGATATGTTAAATATAAAATTCGTTATTTATATTTTGGCTAAATCGCGCAATCTTGTCCAATCCCTGGGTACTTAAATGTATTGACCTAAAAACGGACACTAATTCTTTAATATTAAAGGAACAGTTCGTAACAATAAAAAGGATATTGAATATTACATTCCTTTTAATAAAAAACGGATACGAAATAAATGCAGTTAGCCAAGTATTTCATAACGCAAGACACATAAAATAGATTAACAGTGACTAAAATGGTCACGGAAATTATTTGCGAATTAATAAAAAAATTGTTACATACATATTCTGCAGATATATGATGATACACAATACATGAAAACAACAATTCAACAAAGAAGAGATGTTAATGATTGCTTACTAATCTTTCCAAAGTAAAACGCATTTTTCTTCTAAGAAATCTTGAAACGAGTCCGACAATTTTCTTTCTATCAACTGCGGGAAAGAAACAATAAAGAAAAAAGCTATAAAAGATTATTGATTCACTTAATTCGTGCGAACATCAAACGGAAAAAATCTCACCGAGAAAGGGAAAATGGTAAAGGATTATAGTTGGATAACGCGAAATAATCGTAGTCGAATACAATGAATCATGATTTTATTTGTTATATAATAATATCTACAATAAAAATACCATATCGTTTGAAAAACAATTTTCGTTACAATTATACAGTAATTTTATATAATAATATAATATATTTAGGTTTTCGTTCCAAATAAGACGTAGCGATGAACATACACCTCGCGCAGTGGGAGTGAGAAAATACATTATTTTTTTGTCGCAAATTCCGCGTTGTGGTTTCGTCACTCAGCGTGTGTTTGTGTGTGTGTGTGTGTATCTCTTGTATTTGTTCTTTTTCTTTCTTTATTTTCCCGAGTGTCGATTTTCCGCGCGAACATCCGAGACGAGCGTGACCCGCGCGTGATCGCACATTTCGCGATTTATTTCTCTTTCTCTTTCTTTTCTCCATTTTAGTCTCACGCTTTTCGATCGTTCGCATTTTCGAAAAAAAGGAGACCTCGCTGTTGGAGTCAATCGCGAGGGCCGCCGTCTCGAGTGTCCCGCTTCCTTTGTGCCTCGCACGCAATTCCTTCTTTCCATCTTTTTGTTTCTCTTTTTCTTTTCCTTCCTTAGCATGTGCGGAGAGTGTGTTGTAAAAAGCGTTGGACTCCTCAGAGAGCGATCCAACTTTTCATCGCGCGCGACCGCGCGGACAGTATCCCCGCTTTAGTCTCTAAATTAGCTACACTTAATAGTTAATAGTACCGTAATGTCATCTCAATACATATATACATATATATATATATATGTTTATATATATGTATATATATCATTGTATTAGTTTATCATAATATAGACAAAATACATATAACAATTATTTAAATGACTCACAATCAATCATCTTGCCATAGCGCGCGTATACGACGAGCATGCGCGCTCGTGCGCGTATACGCGCCCATGTGCACGTACGCGTGTACATATATATTTATGTATATAATAAATATATATATACATATATTTATCGGTGTGTTAATTACATGATATTTTTTACACTCGTCGTACAGAGGGAGGAAAAGGATGGCGCGGAGGCTCGGAGGGAGTGGACCAGGAAGGGGACGGGAAGGGAACAGATCTTTCATACATTTACATTGTCTCTCTGTCGTACTGCTAATTTACAGGGAAATTCTCATCGGTACCTAGTCGATATCTTACAAACGTTTTTTTTTTGTCTATCTTGTACTGTAGTACGTATCCTTGCATCTAGCGAACACGTCTCGTCGTCCTGTGTCCAAGCAGGCATTTTCGCCTTGCCGCTCGTAGCGTTTGCCTTCGATTTTTCTCTTTCCTCTTTAGTTATTTTTTTTACGTATTGCGGTGTGTTTGCGTCTTTTTAAAACGTGACATTTGAAAACCTATACTCGCATGTACGCAGGTCTCTACGCAGTGATATCAAATATCTGAAGAGAAAGAGAGAGATTAATTTTATCATTTTTTTTATAATAGGATCTTGACGAGTTTTGTACAATATGATGGCTGATGAATTGGATTAAAACTGAGCAAATGATGCTCTAGTAAAGATAGTTACTGAACGTGAGAGTAGCTGCTATATAATTTAATAGCAACTGTACTTTTACGTTCAATAATATCTTTATATATATGTATATAAATATCTTTATATATATATATATATTCTGGGAATACATACAGCTAATAATAGGATAAATTGAAACAAAATAGATGAGATTTTATTTGAAATCCTTCGCTTTTCAATCCTATTCATCTGCCGTAAATCATCTTGCTATGTATTTTTAATTTTGATTCAAGGAACTTCTTTTAATTCTTATATTTTGATTGTTACGATACAAAACAAATAGTAAGAGGTTTCCTTCCTCTCTCTTTCCTTGTGTGTGTTCTTAATGCCGTTTTGTAAAAGGCATCACGAATGTGGTCGTATATAATATAAATCGAGAAACGCTCGAAAATGCTGGAATATTCGCGCCTATTTGCCGATGCCTTCATAACTTTTGTGATGCCTTTTTATTCAGTAACGATTGAATTCAGAGTCGCCTTTGTATTTATGTTGGATGATTATCGTTACGCATGTGCATTACATCGTCTATCGTTTGATAAAATTCAGACACTTAAATAACTTTTCGTTTGAAAACTTTTACATCCTTTTGCGATGGTATAGCATATATCTTTGTATAATAAGATACTTTAACAAGTAATATAATGCAGCTTTCAACCGCAACGTCTAAAATTTCGCAATATTAATAAGGAATGTATAGATTTCCTTATTTTTGATTTTCGCTTTGATTATCATTTTCATAATTGGCGACTCTGAAAAAACATTGCTTCTCATGAATGTGATGATTATACCCTCAGAAGAGAAACCAAACTTCTCAAATTGTGCATTTGGTTTTCGATCGAAACTGCAGATTGTCAATAATCTTACGTATCTATCTCGTAATAGTGTGATCTTTAACGAGATTTTAAAAAATCTCCGAAGGATTCGATCGACAACGAAATTCACGAAAAGTCTCTCTCGCGTGCCAGCTCTTTTTCCAATCATAAGCATCAAATTAAACATATCTAAATTCGTCTAAGTTCCTAATTGAGGATACAAAATCCTAAGTCCTGCCGACCAAGGCGATTCGGAAGATTTTTCTTCTCTCTTTCTCTTTTTTCTCCTTTTTAAAATTTTCTATTATTGAGCGGAGAGGTATTGCTATGTGTTTCTCAAGAAGAATCATTTTGATATGTCAGACGTCCGTATCTCGCCCCCCTGATGGAAAAATTTCGCTGAAATCACGTTTTGGAACACTTTTCAGCAAAATTTTAGTTTAATTTTAGCGATTTTTAGTTGAAAAATTTATTTTCAGTAAAATTTTAGAGAAACTTCAGTAAAAATTTCAGAGAAATTTCAGCAAGATTTCAGAGAAATTTAGTTCAGTTTCAGTGAAATTTCAGAACATTTCACTGACATGTTCCGAAACGTAGAATAATTTCAGCGAAATTTTTTCACCAGAACCTCCTTCATTTCCTTCCGTGCTCGTTTCGTTACTCTTTCGTTTTCTCTCGCTCTGCCTTTTTTCACCCGCTCTCGCATTCTCTCGCGCAACACAATTATTAAGCCCTTTTCAGCGTTCTCCACTTGTATCGCTCTTTTCATTTCAAAGGACGACGTGCGTGAAGAGACGCGTAGGAAGGAAAGCAAACGATACAATAATTAAGCGATACTTTAAAAAGTTCTCCTCTCGTTCTGCTGTAGGGCTGGACGTATGCGTTCATAGTTAATAGAGAAAAGGACAAGGAAGTCTTTTACAGTTTTATATACAAAAATTGAAGGATACCGAGCATGATAGCGACACATCGACCTGTACAGACTGCGAGACTTCATTTTTGATATACGTAAAAATATGCGCGGACACCTTTGACAATTATAAATATATACATTCACATTATATGCATATCTTATACGACAGAAGAGTGACAATCAGAAAGTCAAGGGAAAATGACGTCTTTAAGTAAATACCCGTCCAGCCCATCGACAGGATACAATTAATAAATCTCTTCAGATTCAGATCTCGTCCACAAATTTCGAGCGCAAGGAATATATTACAGCTAGCTTTACTATCAATTAATTTTAATCGGCCGATAACACCTCTTTTTAATTCTGGAAAGCGACACAAAGCACATTAAACAGAGATTAATCGTTCTTTCGGTAAAACCAGCTCATAATCCTCTCGAAGTTACTGACGTTTTAACAACGCTAGTTACTTTTCAATATCTCAATCACGTCGA